GAGTCGAGCTGCTACATCTTGGGATACAAACTACTGGGTCTTCATCATAAGGACTACGGGCGATGTTCATGGAGCATTCACGGGGAACGAGATGCATAACGTGGACAATCACAGGGGAAAATTGTGCGGTGTCTCCTTTTTGCCTTTAGTTGTTCCGCCACGAACCGTGACAGAACAACGGGTGCCGAGAACAACCTGCCAAGGCAGTTTGCCCTGACTCACGCTCTGCATTAATTAGTTGTTCAACTCGATCACAGGGGCGCTCAATGAGCGCCGCTCAAGGCCTTCGAATCTTAGAGTTGCCAAGCTCTGTCCACTGTACGAAAATGATTGTGTGTGGGCGTGGACCCATGTCTTGGTTCCCAAGATTGTCGGGTGCAGTGGTGCAGAGTGCACAACTACGGAATCTTAGCTTGAGCTTGGGGCTAATTGATGATTTCATGAGTGTGACTGTAGAGGGAATCTGTACATTCCATTAGTCATTGCCTTGAGTTCTGTAATGGTCATCATGGTGGGGAACCAGTCGACAACTCCCACAAGTCCTGTCGGTTTGCAGATTGCCCAAGCATGCGGTGTTGCTATAGAGAACGTGTATCTTTTACGACATATCACAGATAATGAGTTGAAGAGCAAATGTGAAGAGCTGCTCATTAAGAAGAAGATTGAGTATGCACAGGTTTTGAACTAGTATGACTACTTGCAGAGAGTCAAGCTTCAGAGTTCTCGCCGAGAACTTCTCGGATAGTGGAATCATCGACGAGCCCTTCTGTTCTTGAATGGTGTACCGCCGATGCTAACTTATGGTTCAAGTATGAAACGCAATATTGAGGACGGTCTGACGCATCCAGAGAAGCCCGTAGGGTATGGTGAGCCCTGACGATGCAGTCTAATTATGAAGTTGGGAAAATGCATTTCCGTCATCAGGTGATGGCCTGGTCTGGGATACAGATTGGAATGGCACGACGAATAAGCGTAATACTGAGTGAATTCGAGGCTCGCATGATGTGGCTCACATCAGAGGAATCCCTTATGTGCTCACGACGTCGGGTTTCAGTGGGGCTGAAAGCTGCTAATTTGACCGTTTCCATTGCCGAAGGAGGCTTCTCCATATATTCCTCTATAGGAAGAGTCGTCCCTCCGTACATCAAGGTCGACAACACATTCGCTTGTCAACGCCCTTCAAGATTTGGACAAGTTGAATTGAAGACTATTCAGTCATCATGATTACGTTCGTGTACTTCCAAGAGACCTCAGAATCTTTGGAACGGCTGAGTTCAGCAATTATTTGGAGAGTTCATAGACGACGTGAAGCGAAAACACTTTTTTCCACCGCACATCGTGGAATTGACAACGAATCATCATCAGTTAGTGACGAGGGAGAAACTCATCGAGCCGTGGAAGGGAAGTCTAAAAATCCCCGACTCGAAACCCGATCTAGGAAATCGGATACAGCTACCCAATGCAACTGGTTGGCTCGATCTGTTCGAAAATATTCTGGGCCACTGAATGAAAGAAAATTCATCGTAAGTGTTACTTCCTGTAGCACTTCCGGGTCGGAGTTGTCTCAGGGGGTTGAAGGACAACCCTTACCCCTGCAAGAAGGCATCAGTAAAGAGTGACAGAAGGCGACTGAATGCTCACCTTTTCACTAAAGAAGCGCATAGAGCCGATTTGAAATCACCCTTGAGGGGCGTACCATCGATAGTCACCCATGGAGTGTATCTATGTGGGGGTTGAAGGTCTTCCGTTTCTGAGCGACAGGCTTGACATTATGTTGGAGAAGAGCTCAGCTCACCCTTAGCGAACTCAGCGACGATGCCAAGGGACTCAGGGCTGCCAATACAGGCTAAGACCTCGGCTCGAGAAGGGAGACCGCTGATGGCTGAGGAAAGGACACACGATCAATCACTGAGGAATGGATTGAGCCCTATGGCTAAGTAGCAGCTCCCCAGCAACGGTGGAAAGCAAGGATCGACTTGAGACGTACATTCAATTATCCAGTCACTGGTATTGTGCTTGAGAATAGCCTCTTCCTCCAGATAGACAGCATTGAAAGTTTGGAGTTGATCGCCGCCTCCTTTTTTGATGATGCATCCTTGGACGAGATTTATTTCGCATTCTTGGGGACCATGCTGACAGGTGTACTTCTTGGTTCTCGGATCGTACCTGTTACGTATCTTCCACGAAGACACCTAAGATATCTCCTTACCCAGCATTCCCGAAAGGAACCAGGCTCAAGTCCATGTTCTTCGTCATTGACTCTTCATCCATGACAGATTTGAGTTCTCCCACAATGAAACCGACCGACGCTCGACAGTACGTCTCGTAGTAAACAGATACTTTCACCTTGCTATGATCGATTGATGTACAGCCAGCGAGAAGCAAGACGAACACGGAAGTGCCAAGGAGGACTGCCATTTTGAGGAAACGACGAATATCTGATAATGTGTTCAAATGGGCTCTATAACAGAGGGAGTACCGCCACGTGACGCCATGAGAGAGTCCTGTGGAACTCAGTGTCACGCGCAAGTTGCGTGTGACCCTGAGTTCCTGTTAGTAGTAACACCCGCACTGGTTGACTTAACAACACTTGGGATAGCCATAATAGGTAATAAGGCCTCTTATCTTGTCCATTTCAGCCTGAGGGCTGCGAGCCGTTTCATGCAACGACTAATGGGCGAGCGAGGTTCGTGCATACGTGCGCGAGCAGTTCCACAGTTGCGCGGCGCAACGCGCGTGACAATGCAAGGTACATGCGTACAGACTGCTCGTCGCGCTCATCAAGAGGAGTGCATCAAGGGCTGCGAAGTGACTGACGGTGAAACTGCCATCAATGAAGGGCCTTGGACAGCGACTTAGGCGTTCAGGACGATATCAAAATATGTGGTTTTCCTGATCATCCGGGCAGGGGAGCTTTCCGACTACATCGTGGGAAATTAGAACGAAAATTTCTCGAAAATTCATCAGGACTCCTTTACAGTAAGGGCTTTACTGTAAGGGAGTCCCTACTTATCGTTCGTCACATTATCACACACACTTACTTATCTTCACCACGCACAGTTGATCGCGAATGTCTGTGAATGTATGCATGACAGGCTGTTCGCAGCAGTGCTTATACGCGTCTTATTGGTGGTTTACCTGGACTGTCCGGGTAAACCACCAGTCCGGAGCCGGACAATTTGGAAGGACTCCTCAAAGCACTACAGCTTAGCATGATTCCCTGTCTTCTACGGTCGAGAATTGCCCTACTGGTGGACCACCTGGGGGGCCTTTCACAAGCAGCATGGCTGTATAGTTGAGGATGGAAGCCGGCGTTGCTGATATTGTTTCTTGTCCTCAATGGACTTCTGTTATCACTTCTTATGTCGATTTCCATGATGATGGCCGTCATCACTTTCTTGAGAGTGTAAACTTACTGGCGTTTACATCATGTTTCTATACCAGACGAGTACCAAGTAGTAGAACATGAACTCTTTCGAGCGGTTTCAGATGATGGTGAGTGACGCCATCGCGATGACTCCGCAACCTCTTATGGCAGCAAAAGCCCCTCATGGCGGTATAGATAAACCACTCTTGGACTAGGTGGAGCTATCAGTCTTATCGATTTCCTGGTTACTTCTAGATCGGGTGTCCCCTTCGTCTTCGTCTCAAGATAGTATTGTGTTCCGAATTAATACGGAGCACCCCCCCCCCATGATTCTCAAAGCAGTCATCAACGCCGGTGTCACAGAGTGTCTCCAATGACCACTGAATCTATTCGTTTTTTGATGAGTCTGATCAGCGAACAAGAATTGTACCTTGCTTCAAACAGGTATTGTGTTAAGAACTATAGAGTCTATAGTAGTCTACGGAGCGGAGTATTCGACAAGCGGGTTTTGACTAAGATTGGGAAGTTTTTCCCAAGTCCAGGCCAGTTTTTCAAAGACGTGAAGATGCGTTCCGGAGTTTAAGATTCTTCTTGTTCTAAAAGACCTACATTCCGCGCGGTCTGCTCACGCGTGCGGACTTCGTGACTTATGAAAGCTGAACGCGTGCGAAGACCGTGCAATCGCAGAGTATCACGATGGAACGGCGAGCTAGTACTCCTGATAGTCACAGTTCTAGAACTTCTAGCGTCATTGACGCATGCATGGTATGCGCCTTGTGCCCCGCGTGCAACTCGCATTCCGAAGGGCATTAGATAGCGACTTAGGCGTTCAGAACAATGTCCAAATATGTTTTTGACTTCATGGTGAGGGCAAAAAGAGTCTGCGTCCTTGGTGCTCTACATTACTACTCCGCGAATATGCTAACGTAACCCACTGATATTCTTGGGTTCTATTACACATCGAAGATGGTTAAACATTCGTAGTGCTCACACACAAGACAGACTGTATTACTAACAGCAAGGATAAGAGATTCGAGAGTGAAATAGTCGCCGATACCCAACACGATGCAGATCGCGGGCATGACATAGAAACTCGGGATAACCTGAGTGATACATACTGGATCAGTACCACCGCTGCAACGCTCAAGCCTTATACTGCATCGCTGATCTAGATCCTGATACATACAGCCATACGGCTCCTATCTCACTTTCGGAAATCCTTACCTGGCACCGTCGCGGGCTTTATAAAGTTCTCAATGATTCTCAAATGTACCGGGTGTGAAGCATAATTCTGATAAGCCTCTACATCTTGTAGACAAACCACAAGCATGAAATCCTGGTTCCTTGCTGGGTCCAAGCCTAGGTCTCTATGAACCTATGAACGATCTGATGCTCTTCTACACAGCTAAGTGCAGTAAAACTAGAGTGCATTCTCTAAAGTCTGTGTCACACACTTACCTGGATGCTTTTGATAGCCGGGATGCTTTCTTCCATCGACAAGCACTTGGCCGTTAACTCATCGATCGTCTCCTCTGAAATACCTTCCTTCAACTTGAAGGAAACCACATGAGTTACTCCAGACATGGATCAAGCGATGGAAGACCGATACTGTGGAGGCAGCACAAAAGCGTTTCCAGGTCAATTGGATTTTTACGTTGATTTTATTGATAGTTTATATCGAACAACACAACGAAAACATATCAAAAGCACTCAAAGAAACAAGACGGCCTCGATACAGATTAACTGCTAAACTGCAGGGCCGTCCGAGAGCCTGAGAATAACGTGGTGTAGACAGTATCGCACCGCAACCAATACGGCATGAGGAAAATTACCAGGCTCGAGGATCGGCAGGAGAATGGTCCGCATTATCTCCATGTGGACCGGATGAGTGCTGTACTCCCTATAGTCCTCGATAGTGTTGAACTTAACGAGGAACATCATGTGGTGGTTCCTTTCTTTATCTAAGCCCATGTCTCGATGGACCTGAACTACACGAGCTGAACCTTTCAACAGAAATACACTCTTGAAGAGGCTACAGGTTCAAACCATGGGAGAAGAGAAACGAAGGAGTACCGTGATGTCCTTGACGATAGGTAAGTCCCCAAGGGTCTTGCACGAGTCCACGAGCCTCTGTATAGCCTCTTCAGAAGCGTCCTCCTTCAGCTTGAAGGCCACCATATGAGTTACTCCTGCCATATCAGCGCTTCTACAGCTTAGCGGGAAAAACGACTGATAGAAAACCGCTGCTAGCAGTATGGGAACAGCGACGAGGAAGAGACGGTTGGTCATATAGACCAAGACTAGTAGATGATCTTCTCGATAGTGAACTTCAACAAAACGAGCCTTAACAATGTAGATAGAAAGTATTGGAAAACGCACCAGTTGCATTGAATGTTCTCCATCAAACTCTCACATGTCCTTTATTTCGTCCGACGGTACCTTCACGTTACTCGTAATACAAAGCACTGATGATTACCATGAGTGCATGTGGTCATTACACACAGTGACAAGGGAAGAATATATACTAATATGATAGCAAGTGTAGCTGTGCTCAGCTTGAGAGAGCTAAGGTCGATAGGGCACATCGAACTCACATAGGCTGTACTCTCCCATGCATTACACAGGACATAATAATAATCGATAATAATCAAAACCGCATAGAGCCGGATGATCAGGCCCTGATCATGGCTCCTTGATAAGTGAGAACTTCCCAGCGAAGGAAGCGCCGTCCTCTTTCTCCTCCTCCTCAACCGCACTTTTGGAAATATAACTAACCCTCTAGATCGATGTGAAGCCCTCCAGGTACTCCCTACTAAAGTGTACTCGGCCATTTCGTTACACTACGCGTCGCGATTGAAAAGGCTCTAATAGGACCACCCTAAGGAACTCATCGTCGACAGTGCCTAATCTATTTTTGGGTTACACTTCCATTTGAGAAAAGCGCGCGCCCAGCTTTCGGCGCTTTCTGTACTCCATAGGCGTTTTCAAAGGGAGCTGAGGTGTTTATCAGGTAAAACGTGTTATGGTACCGGATATCACCAAGCTGTTGATATCAGGGTGGAAACAAGAAAGGCCTGTTGTGATATATATTCATATCTCGCTCATCTTGTGATTCATATCTCGCTCGCCTTTATGCAATTTGCATGAATCGTGCATGTCCATGGAAGTTATTACGTTGTAACACTCATCACTCACATTTTCTAAGAAAATGTGAGTGATGAATTTTTCTTTCTTATTTCTTTCTTATTTTTCTCAATTTTTCTTGTGTTAACCGTCTACATGGAAGATAACAAGGCCCAACTTTTTGGTAAAGCTTTTATGGCGAGAACAAGTTGGTGCCATTACCTGCTTCCGCCAAGGGGGCGGCGGGAACAGATATCGCCGAAATTAGTGAAGCAATGCCGGCAGAGGTTTAGAAGTGGAGACGCTGTAGCCTCTATATGATTTTATCCACTATCATACAAATACCGTGTCAGAAATATATGCCACTAAGTTCGATAACACAGAATCCCAAAGTACATGCGTGGCAACCATTCCTTGCATATCGAGGCTGGGGTTTGAACCAGAGACCTATTCCGCGCCACAGGGGCAAGCACGACAGACGGTCCAAACACATAAAATTTTTCCTGGTAGCGAGCTCCGCCACTCCGTCAAGGAAACCGAGTTTGTTCAGATGTCATCAAGAATGGCCTTATTTGAACACATGATGCCTCAATCCGATCTACGCAAACTACTTCATCATCGAATCGATACTACTAGTGATACTAGATATAGGACGATACTACGAGTTGCACCATACTAGTACACAGGACGATACTACGAGTTGCATCATACTAGTACACAAAACGATACTACGAGTTGCATCATACTAGTACACAGGACGATACTACGAGTTGCATCATACTAGTACACAAAACGATACTACGAGTTGCATCATACTAGTACACAGGACGATACTACGAGTTGCATCATACTAGTACACAGGACGATACTACGAGTTGCATTATACTAGTAGTGGTCAATCATCGTCAGTCTCTTCGGATGAGAGATATAGCGGAGGAAAAACTGCATCGCAGTTTTTCCATAGGTGAAACCTCGACGGAGAGTGCTTGCCCACTTCGGGATAGTGCGGATCTCCCAGCGCTGAGGCGATCGAGAACTTGCCCGTTTCATTCGAGCATGTCCAGAGCGGGTTGTCCGTGAAAACAGTGAATCCTGAAAATGGTGAACCGGAAAAAATTACCCTCGAACCCTCAAAACAGTGAAGGAACGAGCGCGCGCCCGCGGCGCGCGCCGACAAAATTCAATTCAAGGTCCTCTTAGTAAGAGGCTCTTACGATTTATGTGTTGTATCGAGCGGTTGGTCTAGCGGTTAGGCGGTGGTGCTGGATATCGAATGTCCAAGGTTCAAATCTGAAGTTCATCAAGATGATTTTATAACTGACTGTAATCCAACGGCTACCATACAAAACAGCACACGAGAAAGAGCAGAAAAAAGTGCGATGTGCTGTAATAGTAGTTTGACGTACAGAACCGCAGAAGTGCGGTTTTCTACAACTAAAACTCGCAGGTAACCATTACAGCACAAAAATAAATCGCACTGTCAAAAGAGCGGCTGCGCTCTTATTTACGAAAAATGTGTTATTATGAAATCGCAGATGCTGTTTTGTATAAAGTTTGTATGCGGTTATGTATTTCGAGTGCTCTTTTGTCCGTTGCCCTTTTCATACATAACAGCAATCGCGATAAGTAACGTGGCGTTTCGATCGTTTGACGGCGGAGCGAAGTCGTCACTCATATTGTTTTACATTACTCGCCGTAACATTGTTTGCTTGTCTTCCAATGGGAAATTTTTTCATTATCAGTTTGCGTTATTTGGTTCCTATGCCTAAACCAATCTGCTGTCATATTTGCAATCGCGGGAGCGACTTTGGGGCGATGGCCGATTGTGACTCGTGTGGTATGAGAATCCATATTGCAGGGTGTGCCGATGAGGCTGTGGATTTTACTTCATCGCAGCGTTATGTATGCCATCGTTGCGAGCGTCAACGGAAAAGGTTCCGAGGAAATAGTACAGTTATTGAGCACTTGATTCCCGCGTTTCGAAAACTTAAAATCAAGTGTATATCGAATGGAACAGAGTCAGCGCGCCTCATGAATGTAAGTATATATTGCTAAGTAACTTTGGCTGTTACTTGTTATTTGTTTGATAAAGTTGCACCTTAAATTGGATTGTTAGGAGAAATTTTTTAGGATCTCATATCACCTTGCA